ATGGACTCGTCCGAAGCACGCGCTAGAGGGGTGTCGGCTTCAGTTGTTTTGTAGCTCTCGCTGTGTTTAGTTCGGTGCGTCACCGCAACTGAGACTGTGCGACCCCCCACAATGAACTCCCCTCTCTCGGCTTAAACATCGCGCGACCTATAAGCAACACACAGGCTGAACAAGACCGAAAAGTTGAGTCCTATTTGACTGGTACAATAATATAAAACAGGTTGCACACTGTCATATGATAGGTTAAACTAAAAACACGTCTACGAGTATACACAACGCAAGAACTTCATACTCGGACAAAGAACATGATCGTTCCCCTAGAAATATGTTCTTTACTTGGACAAAGTTAATTCCGCGGCAACTTCCAAGGCTTTTACGTTAATTTTTCATTACTTATAGCTATAATTCCCTAGTTTTCTGTTTCACAGATCGGTAAACAAGCAGTAGTCTTACGCTACATAGAAGAGCAGTGCACCAATAATTATAATAAACACATATAAAATTGTTTATTAAATTACAAATAATGTCTTTATTAGGTTTCAAAAACGAAGCAACGTTATAATCAGGCGTAATGAACATACGCAATTAAAATTAGTCTTGAGAACGTACGCGTAGTTTCAATTTTTATAAATTATATCTGATATACGTAATAAGAACATGTAAAAATGCGTTCAACAGGATTATTAAGGCGATAGCCGGACAAGAAAAACGCAAGTCCCTAGTTGTAAAACGCTAATATTCCCAGCTGTGAAAAATCACATATAGAATGAGGGCCTAATTTAAATGATATTGCACTTTTTGGATTTACATCAAAGAAAATCTGTGGACAGCCATCGACATTTAGGACAGACATTACTGTCTACACCTTCAGGATTACTTCTGTCTTGAAAGTGGAGACAGCACGTTCCTTAAACACAATGATGCCTACCTATAAATCTACACAGCGTTAAAACCTAGAAAAAACATGGTATTCCTTAGTTCTTAAGACAAATCCCGAGATTGTAACTTAAACAAATTCACGACAATATTCTTCCATACACTTTCCAACTCAAGAAACATTAATTATCCTAAATATTTTCCCACACCTTTCCCCAATAATTAACTTGCATCATATCCCAATTATTTTTCCAGAAGTTCTATAAACTATGCAGTTGATAAATGTTAATTAAATACACGAAGAATGGATATTCATTCTGTGAATGTTACGGACTCGTAGGTCCATAGAATCACAGCCATGCATTATAAATCACAGACAGACAGCAGTCACGATGGCATTCGATGCAAATGCATCACCCACCTGTCGAATGAACGCTTAATGACATTTCATTAGCACATTCATCAGGGCATAGGCATTTGAAAGCATCACGTTTCTCCATCTCGAAGGGGAGAACGTCCAAGGAAATAACGAATGAGATAAAATTTTAAAATGGGTTGTTACGCCGTGTAGTCTGGTAGACGTTTATCGACGTTTCAGAGATGCTTGATCAGATCGATACCCTTGATAATGGAGGCAGCAAGTACCTCTGAAACGTCGGTAAACGTATACCAGACTACACAGGGCAACAACCTAGAAGAAGCCATGTTCACGTCGCCTCTAATGTCATGAGATAAAATGTTTTTTCGTAAAGATTACAGGTCAAATTTGGAATTAGCACATTTTATAGTCCTCGTTCTTCTCGATTGTTTCTAATTTGCAAAATCAAATTTACATTATTAGAGTCCCAACGTTTTCCCCTCTATGAGCTAAATTTACGGAAAATTATTCAAGATTTTCAAACGTCCTTAATGACGTAAATAAAGACCTTACCAAATATACAAATGAAAATACTGATTTCTGCTATAAAATAAGTGTTATTTTTGAGGGGTGACTTGTAGGGGGAATCAGACACATAATTTTTTTAAAAAACACAAACAAAAAAGTTTTCAACAAAAGTTTTAAAACAAATTATTTTACTTTATAATGCGACGGGCCTTTCTTCCTTCCCAGATGACACACCGTTCTGATAAGACAGTTTATAACATCGCAGACACACAGACATAAAGATAAAATAAAGCAGATTCATTAAAATTTAAATTAACGTACACTCGTGTGCGTATAGAAAAGTCATAACAGCCGATGTAAAGATGAATCTCTATCCACTACTTTTCGCGCCAGATACCTCGTTCAGAAACTTTTTCTGATCGAAATTTATTTCGTGCTAGAGATTAATAAATTAAAAACACATCGACAATTAAGGCAATTTGCGAATTTCCAACAATAAAAATGTGTTCCCATGCAAATATATTGACTTATGATTTGCGTAAATATTGGTCAGCATCGAAAGGGTATTATTATACGTCGTACTACACAGTTAAGACGAAAATCATGGTTTATTACGCACACAGTAA